GCCGCCTGGCGAGGCCGCGGACTCTGTCCGCCGGGGCAGTGCTAGTCCCGCGGCGGGGCGCGGAGCCGCTGCCGGCAGGAGAGCGGCCTCTCCCCAGTCCGTGATGCGGGCTCGGCCGCTGTCTGCTGGCCTCCAACTCCCCAGAGGTTTTTAGAACCGCCACCCTTAGACTTGTCATGGAATTAAAGAAAACTACCTCCAGGGCGCACAGTGCTGCTCTCCTGCTGCCACTTTTCCTCTTACTTTGGGGTAAGTTGTTTTGGTTTTTTTTTGTCTTCTGTGCCTGATTCTTACCCAACTGCAATGCAGTGACTTTGGATCAAATGTGTGACCTGCCCTTATATTGCAAAGGTAGTTGAACAAAATGCCACTCTCACAGTTAGATCTGAAGCCTGAAACCTTATTGTCTGGAAGATAAACAGGCATCTCATTCTAGATATGTTTTTCCTTCTGTGTATTTCTTGTCTCCTTTCATCTTTCTCCCTGTGCACATGTATGTATTCACAGGAGCTGAAAGTGTGTGCACTTTGATGTAATTTAGTAGCCAGCCACTATAGTAACGATTTCCTCCACTGAAAAGTTCTGAATTTTACAGTCGTGCCCATACAGAAGAAACACTGAGCTTTATTTCCATTCTGCATGCTTTAAAAATACATCTAGGCAAACCAGGTGTGTACCTAAGGGAGTGTACTAATACACTGAAGTGCCAGATACCTCCGGTACAAAATGTGGAGAAAGAAGAGTACGTGAGTATTCTCCCTTAGAGATTTTTGAAGAAGGCAGATCCATCCTGAAAGTGTGAGAAGTGGTGAGGTAACAAAAGAGTTTATGACACTGATGGGGGTTTTTGTTTTGATTATGTTTTTTTCCACATTGAAAACTTACTTCCTAGCCAAAGAATATACTTATGTGTACTGGGATTCTTCAAGTTCACGTGAACATGTCTTTGGACTCCAAAAGTCACACTTGTATACGATTTCTTATGGTCCCTGAAAAAGGGATTTCTCTGTTTCTTCTGGAAGAGGTGCCTTGGAGGTCTGCTGGGCCTAGACATCCGTTTTAGTCATGTAGGGATTATAAGGTGACACCAGGAACATGTCCAACCTTTTACTGGAAATTATGATTGGGATTGAACCAGCCTCCTTATACTCTTATTTGTTGCTGCCAGGCCAGGATCTGTATGTAAACTGTTCAGTTTCCACTGAGCTAGGACAAGAATGTTCAGTGACATGAAGATGTTGAGGTAAAATACGGAGAATGTGCAGAAATTAGAGTGCATTTTCTCCGCTAATATCTGTTCAGTACTGCATTCGGTGTTTTCTTGGATTAGTGGGTGATGTTTATGTACTTTTTGAGAGTTGGAGAAAGTTTTCATCTTTCCTTTTTGATTCCCCAACAGGTGGTTTTGGTTTTGTGGGGTTTTTTTTGTTTGTTTTTTTTTTTTTTTTAACCTGTGAAGCCTCCTTAAATTTCCTTTGCTCTGGTCATCTCAGACTATGAACATGAAAGTCAAAATACATTTTGATTTTTGTCAGATTCACCACCACCACCACCCACCCCCCCTTCCTTGTACCAGCTTCTTTGTTTGGTGCATTCGCTCCAAGTGCCTGGAATTCCTCTGGCCACAGGGAAGCAGCAGGACTGTCTTTTGTATCTAGTAACCATAGCTACTGGTTTGGAGTGTGAAGCAATTATGGTGGCTTTGTCTTGTGCAAAAGGCAGGCCCATTGCATATACAGTATTGCTCAGTATGGGGCTGCCAGAGAGCTGTGGTGATTCTGGGGATTTGTGCTGTTTGACCATTGCACCGAGAGCTTTTCACTCTTGGGTAACGCTCTTTTCTGGAATAGTGATTTACTGAGAACATTGTTTTCCTTTGGAGAGCAGGTGGATGACACATCTTGATATAGCCAGCCAAGCTCAAGGGAAGTGGTAATTTCCATAATCTTTCCACCTGCTCCTAGTCTGCAAGAGGAATTCTACCAGATTTTAACTGTAGTGAATGGTGGCATTTATGTAGCACTTGTAGAATTTTGAGGCCATAGGGAAATGCCTTTTCTTACCTTTGTGAGCCACGACTGCTTTTTTTTTTTTTTTTTAAATTATTATTTCTAATTGATTTAGTCTAAACATCATTGAAGCACAGAGTGGCTAAGTTATTTGTTAAAAAATTTGAGAAAATTCTGATTATCCAGATGGCCTGTTGCAAGCTGTAACCATACAACCATCCTGCAGCTAGATCCACGCTATCTCCAGTTATTTAAAATGAACTCCAGAGGGGCCAGTGGTACAGGCTCTGCATGTGACTCCTGTTTTACTGCTGCTGTCTGTGTAATGTGCAAAACAGCTCTCAGCTTAATTTGTTGTGTTCTAAAGGAGATACTGGAGGGCAGAATGAGTGCCTACTCATTTCTCTTCCCACATCTCTATCCAGCAACATGCACAGTAATTCACATACCTTTGGCCTGGAAAATGCTTTGAACGCCTATTGAGAGAGAGCATGTGCAGACAAACCTTTTTTTTCTGACAGTTTGCTATCTGCTCTAATGCAAGCTCTTGAGATTAGCTTGGACATACAGATAGTTTAAATCTTACTCCTTCAAAACGTGGAAACAAAGAAATAGCATTTGTTGATTGTCAGTATATTTAAATAAGAATTGGAAATTAAAGTTTGTGACTCAATCTGGTTAACTGAATACACAGGAAACCCCCTGTCTCCGTGTTTGATCTGTGGAAATGGCTGAGAGATCAGAGAATGTGTAAACCATGAAGGCCAGCTTGGAGGAGTGTTTATTAAGGGATGTCATAAGCACAAAAGATCAAAGAGTTACTGTGGCAATATATGCAATACTGTCACAAAACATGGATTTATAGCTTCTTTCTCCGAGTTCTAGAAGCATGATAATAGGAGTTACATCTTCAAATCTGCGTTGGAACAGTGAACAGATAATAAAAACAAGCTAGCTGGCTACTTGTTCTGTGTTAAGAGTAAGTTTAGTTCCCTGAAGTGTTATTTCTGATTAATGCTGTTAATGCCTCTGGCCATAATATTGGCACTGCTCAGCCCTGTGGATTGCTGCCCACTGTTTGGCACCATTCAGCAATTCACTGGGCGAGCGGGGTGTGAGGGAGCCAGGAATTGGCATTCTGCGTTTTGAGAGGGTAAATATTCTGCATATTTCACAAGGGGAAACTGAGCCACATCATCTTATGCCTGTCTTAATGAAAGTCTAGCAGTCTAGGCCTTTATAATATAAATTCTTTATGAATATTTTACACTAGTAGACTGTGTACATATCTCTGGTCACACCTAAAACCTAGCATGCAAACGTTGTGGTCTGGAACTTGTTTTTCTTTGTTACTAGAGACCAACGTCAGAAGTAGGCTGGGAAGTGATGAACGCACAATACCATTAAAACTTTGGACAGGAAAAACTGCAATCTGAACTGTGTGCAGAGACTTTGCTAGAGGTTTTTAAATTAGTATCCCAACAGGTAATTGGCTGAGATATTGGACTTGTGTGTTTAATCTACCAAAATTCGACAAGATGTATCAAAGCCATGAACAGGAATGCTCTTCTGACACTGACTTTTCTAAAAGATGCTGTAGGTATTGCTGGGATCCCTAGCATCTTGCTGGGCCATTTCTTCAGTATTGTCTTAGAAGAACTACCTGCTAATTGCCAGCATGGCTTTTTGATGACCTAATCTTTATTTTGAGGGTGGTTTTTTTGTCATAGTGACATGACTTGCTTCACAGAGATTGTCAGATCTGATAAGCTGGTAACCTGAGATCATAATGATGATGTTTAGATTCCACCAGCAGATAGTACCTCAACCTGCATTTTCACTGAAGTATCATCTCTCCCCTCTATAAAAAATGAAGAGGAACAACTTGACTCTGGGCACCAGGATCTTGAGGGGGTATTGAATATACCTGATCCTAATGGTGACACTTGAGCATGTGACCATGAAATTCAAACAAAAGTTGGTGGGAAGTGGTTGGGGGGAAGAGGGAGCTGCTGGTAGGTGGGAGCAAGCTGCTTAACGGAGCTTCTCCTGATGGCTGGGCAGAGGTGGTGAACTGCTGCAGCTCGGGGGCTTGGTAGTTGTGATCAAACATTGGTATTTTGGGAAGTTTCCCATGCCCACATCCATTTTCTGATGTGGAATAGAAAAGCCCACTGTTAAAGCAGCTATCAAAAGATGCCCGTTACTGCGTTAAGCAGGACAAGGAATACAGGTTATGGAATATTTTAGGCTGGGTGAAAAATCAGTGCCAATTATTAGCATGTCGTGAGCTTGTCAGTAGTCTCAGAGAATTTCAGGGCCTTTTTTTCTGATGGTAGTGTCACTAGGAGCAGGTGCTTTGCTCCGGTCTGGGGAGAAAGGGTTTAATCTCTCTGTGCCAAGAAGGAAATGGTGCTTGTAAAGCCCTAGGATGTGTAGAGCCACCTAAAAAGGCCCCTGTATGCTCCCCGGAGTACTGAATGTACTTCCCGAAGAAGGGTTTTATTTTATTCTGCTGTTACCTTCCATAGCAGATACACTATCCTTCCAAAGTTAGCAAGAGTGGGGGAGAGGGTGGACAGCATGAAAGCCCCTTCTCAGGCCTGTCCAGCCTTCCTTCCTGGTGTGTAGATCCTGGGGACAGGCTGTGGTGTGTGTACCCTTTCACTAATCCTTTACACTGACCAGGATAGGGAGAGAGCAGCAGAGGTCAGCAGGGATTTACTAATATAAGCACATGCCTTCCTGTTGTCATGGAGACACAACTCTTTCCATTCCTTTATTCAGCATTTATTTAATAGTTGTGTTACTCTGATACTTGAGGTGGAGGGGTTCCTTCTCTACCTTTGGCCTCGGTATCGTTCTCTATCGGGAATTATGTTGGGGCCATCAGCGCCAGCACAGCCTGACTGGGAAGAATTGCATCTGGGGTTTTGAGCATTCACAGTTTAGGCACTTGAAGATTCCTCTGGCTCAGTTATCACTGCGGTGCAGCTGGAGGCTGCTGCTGGGAAGCCTCCTGTTCTCACCTCTTGGTTGTAAATTGTCTTTTTTCCATTTGTTGTAGTGAGTAAGGCAGGTGAAATGCACCTGAAAGAAGCCTCTTTCTTGCAGTGCCTTTTTGTAAAAGGTGATAGTCGTAAGATTTACAATAGCATGGAAGTAAAGGAACTCGGTAACAAATCCATGCACAAAAGGTAATACATCATGGCTGGGTCATAGTTTTGGAAACATAAATAA